ATGTGCTGTGTCTATATATTTATACACACACACACACACACACACAACCACATAATACTATTTAGCCATAAAAAAACCATGAAATTCTATCATTTGTGGCAACACAAATCAACTTGGAGGACATTATGTTAAATGAAATAAGCCAGGCAGAGAAAGATAAACACTGCAGGTTCTCACTTACATGTGGAAGCTAAAAAAGTAGAGCTCATAGAAGTATAGAGAAAAATAGTGGCTACTAGAGGAGAAGAAGGGGAGCCAAGGAAGGGGAGGGGAGAAGGGAGAGTAGCCAAAAGTTGGTTAATGGATATATAAGTACAACTAGAGAGGAAGAGTAAGTTCCAGTGTTCTATAGCACTATAGGATAACTATAATTAACAGCAACTTATATTTTTAAATAGCTCTAAGAGCAGGGTTTAAATGTTCCCAACACAAAGAAATGATAAATGTTTGAGGTGATGGATGTGCTAATTACCATGACTTGACCAAGACACATTGCATACGTGTATCAAAATAGTACACTGTACACCCAGTAAATATGTACAATTACTATGTATCCATTAAAAATAATAATAAAAGCAAAAAAAAACCCTTGTGTCTTATTTTATCATATAGTATCCTGTTTCTTGTCTACATTCCCATTGCAGAGTAAAACCTGAAGTCAGAGACTATGTCACTTTTCTTTATCTCTTCAGAAATGTACACTAGGCAATTTATCTTGCAAGCCTAGTTTTCTAGTGTTTTATAATAAAAAATAAGAAAAGAGGCCTTGAAGAGTTATGAATGAGAAACAACATGTGAAGTGTGTAGCACTGTTCAACAGAACTTTCTGAGATGATGAAAATGTTCTGTATTTCCAGCTGCTCAATAGGAGCCACTACCCATATAAGCAACTGATACGTGGCTAGTGCAACTAAAAAACTGAATTTTAAATTTTATTTAAAATTAAATATGGCTAGTAACTACCATATGATAGAGAGCACATTGAAAGTCTATAGGAAGCACTGAATAATGGTAACTAATACTACTAAAAGTAAAAATTTTCAGAATGTTCTAGAGATTCACAACAAAATGTTACATTTCAACTTAAATAAGGTAATAAAACACTGTTGCAAAGCAAATTCGACCTGTTTTAAAAATAAAAGAAATTAATCTTATTTCATTATTTCCTATTTCATTAGCATAGCTACCTTCTGACTTGACAATCACTTTCAGGAGACAGCATGGTTCTCCTGTCATGCTGGAGGGAACATGTGGTTCCCTCCAAACCACACACCTTTCAGTTAGTATGCAGGTGAGAAAAAGATCCAACACACAAAGAGGGCGATAACTGGACCCAGTGAAAAAACCATAGGTTACAATCAGACAGACCTAAATGTGAATCTCTTTTTCTTTTTTTTTTTCTTTTTTTTTGAGACAGGGTCTCGCTCTGTCGTCCAGGCTGGAATGCCCTGGCCCAATCTCGGCTCACTGCAAACTCCACCTCCCAGGCTCGAGTGATCCTCCCACCTCAGCTTCCCGAGTAGCTTGGGACTACAGGGGCACACCACCACGCCTGGTTTTTGTATTTTTTGCAGAGACGGGGTTTTGCCATGTTGACCAGCCTGGTCTCCAACTCCTGGCCTCAAGTGATCTGCCCGCCTCAGCCTCCGAAAGTGTTGGGATTACAGGTGTGAGTCACCATATTCAGTCTTAAATGTGAACTCTCTAATGAAATTCTACCCTCTTAACAGTGTTAACACCAGGATTACCAAGCATACATATAAAACATTCACAAGAGTAGAGCACAATTGATACTCAGTAAAATGGCAGTCAATATTATCATATAACTGTTTAGAAAAAAAACCGTTAGGCAGGGCATGGTGGCTCATGCCTGTAATCCCAATACTTTGGGAGGCTGAGGTAGGTGGATCATGAGGTCAGGAAATCAAGACCATCCTGGCCAACATGATGAAACCCCGTTTCTACTAATAATACAAAAATTGGCTGGGTGTGGTGGCACGTGCCTGTAATGTCAGCTACTCGGGAGGCTGAGGCAGGAGAATCGCTTGCACCAGGGAGTTGGAGGTTGCAGCGAGCGACAGTGCAAGACTCCATCTCAAAAAGAAAGAAAAAAAATGCTTTATATGTGTATGGAGTCTATTCTACTGGCTGCAGCAACTTCCCTCTAGAATTCAGAATATGCTTATTCAACCAAATCTTTATGAGAATGGATTTTAGATAGTGAGTTCTAAAAAGAAAATAACTTTCTTTCTTCCTTTTTAATGCAAAATATTCATTCTTTTACTTATATTTTTCCTGTTAAATTAAAAAAGGGTAAGATTCTATTTAAAAAATCCAAAATGGTTTAAACATGATATAATCATCTACAAATGTTGATTCTCTCACCATAAATCTTTGTGGCTTTTTTTTTTTTTTTTTTTTTTGAGACAGGGTCTTACTCTGTCACCCAGGCTGAAGTACAGTGGTATGATCATAGCTCACTGCAGCCTCAGCCTCCCAGGCTCAAGCAGTCCTCCCATCTCAGCCTCCTGAGTAGCTGGAACCACAGGCATGTGTCACCACGCCTATCCAATTCTTTTTAAATTTTTTGTAGAGGTGGGATCTCACCTGCCAAGGCTGGTCTCAAACTCCTGGGCTTAAGTGACCCTCCCACCTCAGCTTCTCAAAGTCCTGAGATTACAGGCATAAGCCACCAAGCCCAGCCTATTTGTAGCTTCCTAACAAAAACAAATTAACTTTAAGGTAAGTATATGTCAGGTCTTCCTAGTTGCTCATGGTTTTTGCAGTTTCAAAACAGAAACTGCAACATAGGGAAATCCTGTCTCTACAAAAAGTGTATTTTTAATTAGCCAAGTGTGGTGGCACACACCTGTGGTCTTAGCTACCCAGGAAGCTGAGGTGGGAGGACTGCTTAAACCCAGGAGGCTGAGGCTGCAGTGAGCCATGATCGTACCACTGCACTCCAGCCTGGGCAACAGACCAAGACCCTGACTCAAAAACCAAAAAACGGAAATTGCTTTTCTTATAATACATATCTTGCCTATTATAATCAATAAATATCATTTTTATTAATATCCTCTTAAGTAGTATAAAGACATCACCAGTTGCCTCATAATACTATTTCAAGATTTCAGGTTATCTTTGTAGTAATTTTGCCTGAGTTCCCAGTCACTCTCAGTATTCTGTCCTCTCATTTAGTCCCAAACAAAAAACAAAGAAACCCTTTTCTAAATGTAAAAAGGGGCGAGGAATGGTGGCTCAAGTCTGTAATCCCAGTACTTTGGGAGGCCAAGGTGGGCAAATCACTTGAGGTTAGGTGTTCAAGACTAGGGTGAAACGCCATCTCTACTAAAAAAATTTTTTAAATTAGCTGGGCATGTTGTTACATGCCTGTGATCCCAGCTACTCGGGAGGCTGAGGCAGGAGAATCACTTGAACCCAGGAGCCTCCTGGGTAGTTAGGACCACAGTTGTGCACCACCACACTTAGCTAATTTAAAAAAAAAAAAAAAAAACTTTTTGTAGAGCCAAGATTGCGCCACTGCACTCCAGCTTGAATGAGAGTGAGACTCTGTCTAAAAAAAAATAAAATTATAAGGCTCAAGGCATTATTTTAAATTTTTAAAAATGTTATTTAAAGGAAGGGTAGAGTGAAGGGAGGGATAGGGAAATATGCGTTAAAGAATACAAAATCACAGCTAGATAGAAGGAACAAGTTCTAGTGTTCTATATCACTGTAGGATGACTATAGTTAACAATATTAAATAGTTTCAAATAGTTAGAAGGGGAGATATTGAATGTTCCCAAGACAGAGAAATTATAAGTATGTGAGATGATGGATATGCTAATTACCATGATCTGGTCAATATACATCACATGTATGGAAACATCACTATGTACCCCATGAAAATGTACAATTATTTCCCAATTTAAAAATTTTAATTTAAAAACCTAAAAAAAAGTCATTTAAGTATAAACTTGTATCTTTCTTTTAACCAATCTAGCATAACCTGCTTAATTCTACTAGGATAATTACCTTTGATCCTAATTTAACACTCCTAGTCTCATCAACCAAATCTTACACAATAGTTTTCACATGGGGTAACCAACGCCCAACATCTATATAAAATTTTTTCTTTTACAAGAATTGTTTAGAAAGCATAAAATCTAAATGTTCCTTTTCCCATATATTTTTAGTGTCATTACTTTCTTTAATTTACTGAGCTCATATTCTAAATCTAGTAAATAGGAAAAAATTTTAAAGAGAATAAAAGTAATTTTGGAGCTTATAAATCCCTCTACATCTATTCGATTCTTTATTTTAAAAAGAATTAAAACCATCATTACATGGAATGTCTAAAATAACGCCAAAGCCTAATCTAAACATACATAATTTTCACAAATATATATGTGTGTGTATATATAGAGAGTTTACTTTACACCTGCTTTGCATTTATGACTCAAGAAGTATCCTAACACAGAACATTGTAAATTATGCTCAAAGAAATGTATATCAAAATCAGGCAACCTTGGGCCAGGCACAGCGGCTCACACCTATAATCCCAGCACTTTAGGAGGCCAAGGCAGGAGAATCGCTTGAGCCCAGGAGTTTGAGACCAGCCTGAGCAGCACGGTGAAATCCTGTCTCTACAAAAATAAAAAATAAAAAAAAATTTGTCAGGCATGGTGGCAGGCACCTGTAGTCCCAGCTACTTGAGAGGCTGAGGTGGGGCATCATTTGAGCCAAGGAGGTCAAGGCTTCAGTGATCAGTGATTACACCACTGCATTTCTGCCTGGGTGACAGAGCAAGATCCTGTCTCAAAAAGAAAAAGAAAAAATCAGGCAACCTGAAAGTTGCAAATGAAAAAAATAACAAAACCATTTTTACTCCATATTAAAATCTGCAGTCATACTGAGTATGCTTTCTAGCTGATAAAAATGACAAAAAGCATATATGAAAGATTCTAACAATACAAATAACACTTAAGCTTATTTCTTACTGATGGAATTCGCTTTCTTCTAACTTCATTCTCAGCTGACATAAGCAGCAACTCAAGTTCCTTTATTTTCTTTTCCTTATCAGGATCTTCATCAATGAAGGGTTGCTAAAATAAGTTAAATAAAAGAGAAAACAGGCTACTTACATAATTGCTTTATTATTAGTGTTCTCATGTTTATTTTCTTCTATGCAACATGAAATATATTTTTTCTAATAAAGCTTAATGCTACTAAATACTAAATATTCATTATTACAATCCCTCTGGTATCTAAAGAGCTGCTGGTAAATATTTTCAACTTAACAGATTTGGGAAAATTTTAATGCCTTAAAAAAATGTTGCATCATCTATATCAGCTGAAATGTATGTTTGGAATATTTTAGATTTTTAAATCTTAATACATACATTCTATACAATTTAGCAAAAATATGTCCATTCACAACTTGAATGCTTTACCTTGAAAGAATGAAAGGACTACCATACTGGTATCGTTAATCATCTTATACTTGTACGGTTTATATTTCTTAAACCCCACTTACACACTTTCTTCTTTAAGGTTAGAGTACTCCAAGTAGGACAGATCATATTATTTTTATACTAGTTTAATAAATGAGGAAATAGATACTATTAGGCTTTTTAAAATGTGACTGAACACATTTCCTTTGGTTTTTGTTGTAAATAAAAGTTACCTGAATAAAGGCAGAAGTAGGCTGAACATGTTCTATACAATTGCCTTCAGGTGACACATACTGATACCCAGGTATCTAAAAAGTAATTAATGCATTTTATCACACACATAATGATATATAAATGTTTAAAATCTAAAGCAAATGACAAAAACTTTTGAAATAGTATCAACATAAAAAACTTAGAAAGTACCTGTATTAATTTTGAAATTTTATACCTATAATACTTTCTTATCTATTAAATAATAACTACAGCTCCAATCCTAGAACCTATGGATTAAAAGTTATAACACTTAGAAAAGACTTTTTTTCCCAGATGAAATATGAGAATTACTTAGCCTAGATTTATCAGCCAGTTTATTAAATCTGACATTCCCCATATATATTTAAACATCTACTATTAGAAGGGTTGCTCTATCTCCTAGAGAAAACAAAGTAATTGTGTTCCTATGTGTCCATATGAATGAAGCACTCACAAGGACAGAGAATGAAGCAAGTTTTCAATGTTCATATCTCCTACTTTTATCACCACTCCATGCGAAAGGCTTCTCCTATTACTTGTCTTAGAAAAACAATCAGAATCACTCATATACTTTTAATAGATATACTTATGATAGGCTACGTATCATTCTGCTTCTTTCCTAAAACATCTGTAATAAGAATTTTCAAGATACATATAAATTTAGTAGGCAGTAGTGGGAAGACATATGAGAGAAGGTGTTTTTAAAAGCCTTAAAATTGGGGCTGGGTGCAGTGGCCCAACCCTGTAATTCCAGCACTTTGGGAGGCTGAGGGAGTATGGTTGCTTGAGCCCAGGAATCCAAGACCAGCCTGGGCAACATGGCAAGACCCTGTCTTTACAAAAAATTAAAAAATTAGCTGGGTGTAGTGGAGCATGCCTATAGTCCCAGCTACTCAG